TTAACTCCCGTGCGGAGCCACTCTGTCGGCTCAACTCCATTTACTCCCGTGCGGCGCATCTCCCTCGGCTCCGCTCCATTTACTCCCGTGCGGCGCAACTCCCTCGGCTCCGCTCCATAGACTCCCGTGCGGAGCAACCTCGCCGGCTCCGCTCCATTGAATCCCGTGCGGAGCAACTTCACCGGCTCCGCTCCATTGATTCCCGTGCGGAGCAACTTCGCCAGCTCCGCTCCATTGAATCCCGTGCGGAGCAACTCTACCGGCTCCGCTCCATTGATTCCCGTGCAGAGCAACTCTACCGGCTCCACTCCATTGATTCCCGTGCGGAGCAACTTCGCCGGCTCCGCTCCATTGATTCCCGTGCGGAGCAACTTCGCCAGCTCCGCTCCATTGAATCCCGTGCGGAGCAACTTCGCCAGCTCCGCTCCATTGAATCCCGTGCGGAGCAACTCTACCGGGGAACACGCATCCGGCGCTTGTACATGCGCGGAACGGGGCCGTTTCGGAGGGAAACCGTGCCCGGTGTATTGGTGTCCGTGAAACGGAGCAGTTCCGGCTGAAACATGCGTCCGTTGTATGAATGTGTGTGTTACGGGGCTGTTCCCATCGCGGGCCCTGGCACGTGTGTTGATGCAGGGCGTCTCCGGACGATCAAGCCCGGCCAGCCCCGCTTTATCAACAGGCGCAACTCGGCAGTGTTCCGAGTGGAACAGAGCGTCTGTTGCGCCGTGGTGCACAGTGCGGCGCGATTCCACAAGGGATGCGTCCGTTGTATGAATGTGTGTGTTACGGGGCAGTTCCGGGGGGAACGTGCACCCGGTGAATTGGTGTTTGTAAAACGGAGCTGTTCCGGAGAAAAACATGCGTCCGTTGTATGGTGTGTGTGTTACGGGGCTGTTCCCATCGTGGGCCCTGGCACGTGTGTTGATGCGGGGTGTCTCCGGACGATCAAGCCCGGCCAGCCCCGCTTTATCAACAGGCGCAACTCGGCAGTGTTCCGAGTGGAACAGAGCGTCTGTTGCGCCGTGGTGCACAGTGCGGCGCGATTCTCCATGGGATGTAGCATGTGGGCCTAGCTGGCTCCCCGAAACACTGAAAAAGTCCAACTCCGAGTCATCCAACGTGACGAACGCATTGCTGGCCATCTCACCAGGTTGGTTTACGCTCTGCGAGGCCCTGATCCAGCGTGCGTACCCGCCGAGTGGCGAGTCGGACGCCAGACTAACTCGACCCGGTGTATTCATGGCGAAAAACACTCCAAATTCTACCTGTTTTTCCTCCGTCAGACATGCCACGGCTGCCACCAATGTAACGTCGAACGGATCCTGGGTTCTCACACGCCAGACGAAGGAAACCACAGACACTATTCTTCAGGGTTTCGGGGCTCTCCGGCCATTTATTCTTGCCACTTTCTTTTACACGAGGCTCTCTCTTTATACAACTCCGACAAAAAAGGACGCTATACAAAAGTCACACTACTGAGTCGGCGCAGTCTGGCAACGGGTCTCCCTGGCCCAGCAGCAGGGGTCCCAACGCTACGGTTGCACCGTGGGTCCGTGCTGGCGCCCTCTGCCGGCGGCCCGGCACCGCCGTTACAATACTGTGCATTCAGCAAATTCTTTCGATCTGAACTTTTAACCTGAAAGCTATTGTACTCATGCAGGGATAGGCCTAGTCCATTGCAACCATTACACCTGAACTCGCAGTGCCGTGTACAAGCGCATGCAGCATAATTATAGTACTGCATGTCTGCGTGCGCCATGTTGAAAATCTCCGTAATGCAGTGGCCGTATTCTGTACGAAGCTACTGTTGATGACGCGCACGTACAGTATTTGCATCAGCACGTATCATCTCTGTGACCAGGAAAACACTGGAATATAAGACATGTAAGTAGATTGTATTTGGCACAAGCAAACAAAACAAATTCAAAATGAGGAGCTGCATTTGTCTGAAATGTGGGACTGAAGATGCTGGGTTTTTTGAAAGTGAATTTAGCTTTGGAAATCCAAGCCCTATATTGCTTATCATTAAAAATTATCAGTGGCTAGTGCATGGGTGAGCACAACGTTCTAGAATGATTTAGTAGGTCAACAGAATTGCTACTCGGATTATCCCTTTCATGACCTGTTATGTTTTGTTTAACAAAACAGGAGGGAGCTTGAGACATTTTGTTTTGCTCAGATGCATCTACTTTGGATTTTATCATGAAACTGCTGAGTTACCATAGCTCTTGAAATTTCTGGTTAATGACGTCACAATTAAGTCATGAAGTATCATATTACAAGTAATCCAAGATTTTCAGATTTAATCTTTGAAAATCAATGTAAAATCTAAACTACTAGAGATTTGATTTTGTTTTTTTTATGGCAATCAAAACAATGTTGCATTCGGTATTAAGTGCAGGATGGGACGTGACCCTTCCTTCCAGTCGAAACCGGAAGTGCCTTATTATTTGAAATTGTCAGAAGATACGAGCCTGCTTTCAACGATGTGAGTGTCTGCCTAGGCTGTACTTAAAAAAAAAATTACATGTGACGTCATGAAATGTTAGAGCGCCCTCTAGCAGCAGGTTGAAAATGTCAAAAATTAAATTTCAGTTGATATGTGTGTGGCCAATTTTGTAGTAATCACTTCAAAATTAATGTATTTGATGACCTTAATGCAGACAAGTCCTGTGCGCGAAAAAAAAAAAAATTTCGTCATCGGACCGGAAGTTACTAAAAAACCTTTAAACCTAAAAAATGAAAAATAAAATCAATCGTGAGAGATATAATCAAGATGTGGTTATATATAGCATAGTAAATGTAGCTCTGTAGGTTTCTTCTAATTACGTCACTATGACGTCATCAAGTATCACATTACAAGCAAATAAAGACTTCCATATTTAATCTTTGAAAATCAACATATAATCAACTGTTACAGATTTCATTTTGGTTTTTTTTGTGACAATCGATACAATATTGCAGGGTCTTTATTTTTTGGTATTAAGGGCAAAATCACCGGACCCTTCCTTTCGGACGAAACCGGAAGTGCCCTTTAATTTAAAATTGGCAAAAACGTGCACTTGCTTTCAACGCTGTGAATTTCTGCCTAGGCTGTACTTACAGGTGACGTCATAGAGTGCGACAGTGCCCTCTAGTGACATGTTGGCAAAGCCAAACATGCACTAAACATGCATTTTAAGTTGGTGTGTGGCAAATTTTTGCTGTTAATAATGGCCCAACACCGCGTGGCCGTTCCTACAACCTCTAGTTAATATTATTTTACAAGACACATTCGTTTCCGGAAACAGTTTGTCGACATGAAAAGTGATATGAACTTTAATTGTGAATGCAAAACCCACTGAAGATGACGTCATCATGGGGTCACGTGACGTCACTTCAAAAAATAATAAATTTAATGTCTGAAATCCAATATAAAATCAACCGTGAGAGACCGGAACTTGAATTTTGCGGGAATCGATATAAAAATACGTGTTTTTCATTTTATCTCGTGCGCGTCAACTCACGTGACCCGTTCTTCCGGTCGAAACCAGAAGTGCCTAATAATTTGAAAGTGGAAAAAGATATGAGCTTGCTTTAAACGATGTTAGTCTATGGCAGGGTTGATCTTTCCTAAAAAGTTGATCGGTGACGTCATGAAGTGACGTCTTGAAAATGTCGAAAACGCAATTTTCTGTTGATGTCTGTGGCGAAACTTGCGGCAATCGCTTCAAAATTAATATACATAATGACCTCAATGCAGACAAGACCTGTGCGTGATAAAAAAAAATAATAAGTACGTCATCAGACCGGAAGTTACAATGCAAATACCTCTTTCCCTTTAAAAATTCCTGGCAAATCAACCCTGAGAGATTTAATCTCAATTTGTGCTTTAATGGCACCTTAATAATATTTTTAATATTTCCCCAGGTTTCATTACAATAAGTAAATAAAAGATGCCCTGCAGCCCCCTTGAAATTCGAAGTTGACAACGTCTATGCCATGAAACGTTCATTGAATGCCATGTACTATAGCTTATGGCGTGTGTACAGCAAATGGGGATGATTGCGTACAAAAGGGGTTTCCCCCCAGTTCCCCCTCTGTCTGGTTTTACGACTGCTTTATGTTAACTATTGAGCCACATGTCACAGCTGTTTGATGGACCAATTTATTTTAAGTGTTTTTACAAATGTTGTGTACACGTTTAAATGACAACTTCTTCACGGAAGCACATTTTCAAATTTTGATGAAGTCAGATGAACTCAAAAGTATTTCGCATTAGGGTAAAGAGTGCATGGCGAGCATTATTTTGTATTGCGCCAATGGTGTGCGAGCTTTGCTTTTAGAGATATGAGCTATTTAATGGGTTTTTGTCATGATTGTACTTGATAAGTTTTCACTACAGCAGCATACCCGTGCAGATATTTACCTGACTATTTTTAATTATCCACTTTATAATTACTACAGGCGCTATTTTTTTAACCGTCAACCCTCAACATAAACATCAACAATCAACAATCAACGTCAACATCACCACTCAAACCACTCAACATCAACACTCAACATCAAAAATCAATTAACAGTCAACATCGACAATCAACATCAACAGTCTAGATCAACAATCAACATCAACAGTCTAGATTAACAATCAACATCAACAATCAACAATCAACATCAACAATCAACATAAATAGTCATTAACCAACATCAAAAATCAACATCAACAAGCAACAATCAACATCAATATCAACATCACCAATCACCATCAACTAATCAACAATCAAAAATCAAAATCGACAATCATCATCATCAATCAACAGTCAACATCAACAATCAACGTCAACAATCAACACTCGACATCAACTTCAACAATCAACAATTAACAATGCGAAAAAGTCATTTGTTCTGTTAATTTAACAGACATAAACCTCTATCCCAACACTGTGTGTTTGTTCCTTCACACTCTAGTTCTTTATTGTCTTTTTTATTGTTATATTTACTGACAGATATCTGTTGATATGGCAGACTGTGGAATTTCTGGAAGTGATATCATGTGTGAATCAACCACCGCTGCGTCGAGTGGATCTCTTCTTTATGCTGTCCCCGATGACATAATGCAAACGATTTTGCAACATCTGAGGGCGTCTGACCTGTGTCACGTGGCATCATGCTGCCGTTGGCTACGCGATGCAACCAATCAGGATTCACTCTGGCGCCCTCTTTGTCAAAGCAGAGGATGGGAGCACTATGGCACCACCACAGACCTGGCCAAGATAGCCTCTTACGGACCTTCCGAGCAGCAAGCAACTGGCGCTAATGAAGCAAGTCACTGCAGCGTGACCTTCCAGAATGATAGGATCGTGACTGATGACAACACAGCGGGTTTAACCAGCACTTGCAGGTGGAAAGGCGTCTACATGCGAGCTGACCATCTAGATAAGAACTGGGCTACAAATCGGTTTCATTTCAAGCAAATCCCGTTTGATGAGGAAAAAGGCCGCTGTCCTGATTCCAACACAGTTTTTGTCGACGGGGATCTTCTGGCAATATACACATTTTGCAAAACAATCCAGGTCTTTGACATTCGGAAGGAGAACCTTCAGTGTGTTATTCCTTTCATCAAATCAGCGGGCGAAATCAAGTTTAAAGATGGCGTAATTGTGGTGCCTTGTTTTGATGGGATGGCCTATGCCTGCAATGCAAGGACAGGGCAAACGTTACAAACGATGGAGGGAAACTGGGGACGTAGCATCGTTTCACTGTTCTTTGATGGTGAACTGGTCATTACACGTGTGCCTCGTTGTGATTGGATAAACAGCAAGAAGTTTCGTGACATTAACGTGTGGTGTGTCAAAGACGGCCAACTTAAATGCATACTAACAGCGGACCCTACAGACGGTGACTACGTTTGTTATAACATGGACTATCGGGACAAAATAGTAGCGGCTGCCTACGATGATGACTACATTCGCGTGTGGGATGCAAAGAGCGGAAAGTGTTTGCATAAACTGAAATGTCCAGGGAAATACTCAGACGTCAAACTTGGTGATAATGTTATCGTTGGTTTCAGCACGAAAGACGACACTTGCGTTAGTATTTGGAGCCAGAACACGGGAGAGTGCCAACAGGTGATACCCCTCGCGAATACGTACTGTCACCCTCAGGTCGTGAACAATTTGATACTACTGGAGCCTTTAACCGAACTGGAGTACCAGCATATCGGTATTTACCTCTCGGTGCATCCTGTGAAAGCTTACAATCTGCGTGGAAAATTGGTAACGGAAGTGTGGCGTAAAGTCTTTGAAGTGACGGGAAACGGAAGCAAGCACCCCTTCTATCTGACTGATCAGCCGGTGGAGGGGCGCTTAAGATCTTCGAAAGGTGTCATCTGCAATGCCACTCCAAATGGCTTGGTACCACTATGTAATGCTTGTGCTACCAATATGATCTGGATTGACGATATCAGAATGGTCAGCTATGACGATGAAGAACGAAGACTTATTTTCCATCATTACTGGTGAACCATTAGTTCTTTTGGTTTCCTCCTGAAAATATCTTATTGGGGTCTTTGCTAGGAGGTGGACCGGGAGGTGTCGGCATCTAAATCTCGGTCACGATGTGGTTGTAAATAATTCCCCCTCAAGGTTTTATGTGTCGCAGAGTCAGTAATGTGTTTGGGCAGGTAATTCCATAATTTACTGCTCCTTGAAAAAAAAACATTATTCTTGAATGCAGTTGTTCAGAGTGTTTGTAGTATGTTGAATTAGTTGTTGTTCCCTCTCCTGGATCTCTGCATTTTTGGCTGAAGATGGTCCGATTAGAGAATGATATAAATGATAGGTGTGTCCGCTGTGCAGTAGTATATTTCTCTGACATGCAGAGAATTATATATTGTCGTGGACACAGGTAGTGACACCTAACCAATTTATGAAATCGCCGGTTTCCCAATTCGACAATATCGTGTAGTAAAAAAGAGGAACCGAGAATGAAGAGTCGAGTAGACTATTTATAGTTCATCCTTGTATCACATTAGTTTTTGATAAACTGTGAGAGTTCTCATTTTGATTATGTGCTTCTGCACGACATTACTTGGGCCACCAACGCAACATGAACAAAGATGCTTATCTGTTTGGGTTGCGCAGCGGTTGCCTATCAGCATGACGCCGCTGAGCACATGGTCTTTATACATTCTAAGCATGTATTATACTGTAAATATTGAGTATAATTAAAGAATGATTTAAAATAATAGATGTGTTCCCTGAACACTAATAAATCTCTGTAACATGCAATTAATCTTTTACGTGGACATAGACCACACACGAATATTAAAAAAATCATTATAATTAAGGCAAATCGTATCTGTTTTTCAAAATGTGCGTAGTTGAGTTAGCTCATTTGTCGACAACCTAGTTCATGCATGGAGCTTTAGTACATATAACATGCTTAGTGTGATAGGTATTGAAAACAGTTTTCAATGTCTGGAAGTAATTCTTGGAAAAATTATATAGGTTTGTGTAAATAAGGAAGTTATGATTATTGAAGAGTATGGAGGCCAGCACTTTTTTAACGAGACATCAGTTTTGGATAAATTGTGAGATTTCTCGTTTTGATTATCCGAATTTATTTTCGTGTAAACAAGGAAGGAAAATACCTCTATTGAATATCTGATCTTGTAAATTTTCCCTAGTACACCAACGGGCTTTATCATTTTAATTGCAAATGAATATTATAGACCAAAATTATATATGTATATCATTTCATTTTGATTTGCTGATGACCACTTCGTAGCCTCATTTGCGCAAATAATGCGACATTAAGTCACCAACGAATCTACTCTCTTGTATAAAAAAATGAAGGGAAAAACTCAATTCAATATTGATCAGGTAAATCTGCGCCTGTGGAATGAATATTATCAGTGGCGTCACCAGACTTTTCAGTCTGAGGGGGAACAGGGGGGCACCAGCATTTGATGGGGGGGGGGGGGGGCACTTAGGTGGATACGGATCGCCGTCCTGGGGGAGCGGTCTAAAGGGGAGGGAGTGCCCCCCTCCCCTTTGGAAATTTTTCGCATACGGAGGATGGGCTAGATGCAAAATGGTGCCACATTTGATGCTCATTTGAAGAAAATACGAATTACTGTGCTTCTTTGTCCTTATGAAAAACCAACTCAGATGATGGGAGTTGAATATAACAAAATATATATATATTTTTTTACCAACCCAAATCTCAGATGGAGGGGCACTCGGGGGGCACTAGGTTTTCCAGGGGGGGGGGGGGGCACGTGCCCCCCCCCCCCCCCTGGCGACGCCACTGAATATTATAGAACACGTGAAGTTACAAAACTGCATGTTATTAATTTTGTCGCGTGATGTCCGCTTTCAGCGAACAGTTCTCTTCTGCACTGCGTGTCGGTTTCAAAGTGTTGTTTGGGCCACCTACACAACATGTAAAAAATGCTGAACTGTTTTGGGTTGCCCTGTGTTTGCCTGTCGGCATGACGTCACTGGACCGATCCAGTAAGCACCGCCCCAATGTATTCTGACCAATCACAGCCGTGATTTATGTCCGACGTGCGTGCACAAAAGTCCGACATGCGAGCACGCGCATATGATGCGCGCGGCAGGAAAATGCAGCGTGGCATTGGGGAGGAGCACGTATTAATTTGCCCAGTGCGCAGTGGGCGGGCCTTACTGGATCTGTCACTTGGCACATGGTCTTCACATATGCGCTCTATAAGCATGTGTATTCTGTGAATATCGAGTACATATTTAAGAATGATTTCAAACAACAAAGATGTTCACTGTGCAGTAATATATCTCTCCAACATGCAAATAATCTTATGCGTGGACATGGACTACATACAAATATTAGACAAATAGTATATTCATTTTGGCAAACCGTATCTGTTTTTCCGAATGTGCGTAGTTGATTTTGCTCATTTATCGACAACCTAGTTTATGCATGGAGCTTTACTTCATATAACATGTTTGATGTGATGGGTATTTGAAATATTTTTTAATGTCCCGATGTAATTCTTGGAAAATTTAAACAAGTTTGTGTAAATAAGGAAGATATGGTTATTGACGAGTGTTGTTTATTTGTTTATTTTTTATTTTGCCATAAAGCGGAACATGTAGTCATAAATAATGAGTCATAAACAATATACATGTATTAACTCGTATGAGAATAGGCTGCTCTGTCTATTAGCCATAACACTTGTTGATCAGTCTAAGAGATATATATTTTTTTACAAATAAATAACGACCGTACCACGCTGTAACTCTGGCGGTATTTTTTTTAAAATAATGTGACATTGTTTTTCACTCGAATGTGTTTATGAAATTTCTAGTTTAGAACATTTTTGTTTTCTTTATGTGCGTGGCCTGCTGACAACATTCGAAAATAGCAAATAATCTCCCGAGCCACCGGAATCAGCTACAATCGCAGCTGTACGTGACCGATGTCTGTTCTTTCATTACACAACGGGAATACACACACAGTTTTATTATCGTCTCTGAAGCCCCAAGATCGAATGCATATTTCCTAGACGTACCGGGTCATTCCTTATATTTGGGGTCCAAAGTGTGACATTTTTCCCGTCTCTGTTACCTTGGTACTTTGTAATTTGCAATTCAAGCATCATGAAGAATGACTTCAAATGATTGTATATCTGTTGGGTAGGCAGTTTGCTATTCATAATCACTCTTGGAGGATGACTACATTAAAAAGTGCATCAGAATTATACAATGATAGATGTCAGATGTAACAGGGACGGGAAAAAAAGTGGACCCCAAATTTAAAGAATGACCCACTTAGCCTTGGTCAAGGCGTTTGTGCCGAGCAAAGCGGTATTGGCACATGCTCGTTATGCAGTGCATTAAAAATACGGCGCGAACAGCGACCTCATGTGGCCACTACTTTATGCAAATCATTTGGATCCAGGCGAACGCCTTGGTCAAATCGTCCGCGAAATCTTACGTTTTTTCTTTATTTTGCGCTAGATTTCCAGTAGTCTGTTTGATGTAGACCACACAGTAAATGTAATGCCTACCCAAGCCCACATGCGTTTGTTTATGGTGTAAATCGAGGATTTGATCTTTTGTTCCCCTTCCGTTTTTCCTTTGTTAGTTGTACTCAACTTTTTAGCAACAGCTCTCATTGGTTTTGTACAGGTTTTCCTTGAGGTCGTCCTCAATTTGGTTCCTTTCCTCGATTCACCGATCGATGCTGCATGTGTGTTTCCTCGATTTACACCATACTCACACCCAATCAAGCCGAAGTTACAAAGTCTCACTCAATTTCGTGAAAGGCAGCGATCGGGGTCAGGCGTCTCGGGTCACACGGGTTGTCTGATCGAGCTGTGCATGTGAGCTACGTTTCGAACAAATGGAAATGTTGTAAGTATATTCAGCACTTGTGCACCAGTGCTGTGTATTCAACAAATGCTTTCTCCCTGAATTTAACCTGGGAAGAAGCTGCTGTACTCATGCAGGGATATAGGCCTAGTCGATTGCAACCATACACCTGAACTCGCAGTGCCGTGTATGTGCATGCAGCATAATTATGGCACTGCGAATGTCTGCGTGCGCCATGTTGAAAATCCCCATAATGCTTATGGCCGTAGTCCGTGTGAAGCTACTGTTGACACGCACGTACAGTACTTGCATCAGCACGTTAGTCATCTGTGTGACCAGGAAACACTTGAATAAGACTTGAAGTAGCAAAACAAATTAAACAGTAGGAGCTGCATCTGTCTGAAACGCGGGACTCGACAAGGTGTTTTTGGAAATCCCAGCCCTATATAAAATATTGCATGCTAGACAACAATTCTCAGTGGCCAGTGCATGCACGGTGAGCATACGTTCTAACTTCTACAATCCCGGACAAATCGCGCTGTTCAATGTTGTCTCTCACTGCGCGGTGTGTGCTCCATCAACTGGAGAGAACAACATTGACCGGGGGAGTGGGGGAGCGGGGGCTCACGAAGTGTCCCAACCGTTTTGGCCGGTTTGTAGAATGATTAAGCAGGCCAACAGACATTGCTGTTTGGATTATCCCTTTCATGACCGGATATTCTTTGTTTTATCAAAACAGGAGGGGCTTAAGATTTTTTGTTTTGTTCAGATGAATCGACGTTGGATTCAATCATGTAGGCCTAACTGCCGATAACGAACGGCAATAATATAATATAAGAGAATTATATAGACGATAAATTGTGGACATGAATTTTCATAATTGGTCATGTGGCTTATATCCAATGTTTGACCAGACTGGTCCAAATAGCACCAGTTAGCTTGGCAGGTGGGTTATTATGGCCCTAGAGATGATATTATGAAGGGTGACATCTGGAATTAATTTGAGAGGGACCTAATTTGCATAAATCGTAAATAGCGCCGTTGTGTATATTTCCATATGTTGGCATATTTAAGCATTATACAGCGTGGCCAATACAAATATGCGTACCATTAAGTATCTTTGTGAATTTAAAGCTAATAAATACCGAGGTTTGGCAAAATTATTT